TTTGAATTATTTGTGCCATGTCCAAATCTGCTTTCCAGTTGGTGCATTTTTATTGAATTTTCTCGAAAATGCATGCTGCACACTCTTGTTTGACTGTGTTCGAGCATATTCTAACGCACAAAATGCCTTTTCATTTCTAGTGAACGCCATTCTTCAACCTGAAAAAAAAACATTAAAAATTAAACTTGGTTAGTTTTCACACACTTTGTTAAAATTTGAGATCATTTGAGGGAGAATTGGCTATGTTATTAGACTACGAAATGATGTCAATTTTTTGGGACACCCTGTATTGTAAAATGTATGGGGAAATATTACACATAGAAATGTACCATGAAAAAAATGAATGTTTGTAAATGTCTATCAAAAACATTTGAAAATGTTTGAAAATAGCCAAAATAGTTGTCTAATGCACTTTTCTGTTTGGAATGAATGTGTATTCCCGTATCTTCAATTTAACTATTAGCCAGTTGCAAGTGTTGTAAGTATTGATACACTGTGAAAATGCAGTTTTGATTTGATATCTTGTTTATTTGAAATACATTTCATGTGAGTGCTATCTGCATACATACATGGTTAATGCAAAGCACAATGCAAAACACAGAAGTCAGTACCATTTAGTTATATCTGTAACCTTTGATTAAACTACATATAGTTGAAAAAATACACCCCCATTTCCAAAAAAGTTGGGACACTGTGAAAAACACTGTGAAAATTTTAAAATAGTACGAAGACAACATATGAAATGTAGAAACCGAGAAATTGTACTGTTTGAAAAATATATGCCCTTTTTGAATTTGATGCCAGCAACACGTTCCAAAAAGTAGGATAAAGTTGTGTAATGCTTAAAAAACCACCTGGTGGTTAATTGGCAACAGGTCAATAACATGATTGAGTGTAAAAAAGCATCCCAGAGAGGCTGAGTCTTTCAGAAATTAAGATTAAGGGGTTCACCACTCTGTAAAAGACTGCACGACCAAACAGTGCAACAATTCAGGAATAAAGTTTCTCAACATAAAATAGCAAAGAACTTTTGGTTTTCATCATCTATGGTACATATCATTAAACGATTCAGGGATCTTTGGGCCTTCAGATGGCACTGCATTAGAAACAACCATGATTATGTAGAGGAAATCACTGCATGGGCTCAGAAACACTTCTGAAAAACACTGTCTATGCAAACAGTTTGGCACTGCATCCACAAATGCTTATTAAAACTCTAAAATGCAAAGAAGAAAGCATATATAAACAGGATCCAGAAATGCTGCCACCTTCTCTGGGCCCGAGCTCATTTAAAATGGACTGAGGTGAAGTGGAAAAGTGTCCTGTGATAAACTGGCCTGCCTGCAGTCCAGACCTGTCACCACTGAAAACATTTGGCACATTCTAAAATGAAAAATATGACAATGGAGACCCCAAACTGTTGAGCAGCTGAAATCCCATGTTAAGCCAAAATGGGGAAAACATTTCACTTTTAAAACTACAGCAGCTGGTCTCCTCAGTTCTTAAAAAAAGAGATGATGAAACACCATGGTAAGCATTCCCCCGTCCCAACTTTTTTGGAACATGTTATTGGCATCAAATTCAAAACGGGCATATATTTTTCAAAAAACAATAGAATTTCACATTTGAGATGTTGTTTTTGTACTATTTTCAATTAAATATAGGGTTCAAATGATTTGCACGATTGAATTTTATTGTTATTTACATTTTGCACAGCGTCCCAACTTTTTTGAAAATGGGTTGTATAATAACATACATGATCGCATTTCAAAGCATTTTTGGCCATTTTCATACAATGCAAAAATATATTTAATAAATACATTTGGCATTTATTTTATTTTTATGGGTTTTACATTTTACAATAATAGCATTTACAGTTGACTGGGGCAGACCCAGGCAGAAACATACATCAACTGACTTGTGGCAAAGGTGGCATCCTATGACAGTTTTCATGTTTAAAGTCACTGAGCTTTACAGTACGGACCATTCTACTGCTTATGTTTTTGGGGAGATTGCATGACTATGTGCTTGATTTTATACACCAGTAATGAATGTGGCTGAAACACTTGAACTCATTAATTAGGAAGAGTGTCCACATACCTTTGACCATATAGTGTATTATTATAGCGTATTTGGGAAGTGAAAATGTTTAGTTTATATTTTTTATTATGGGGATTTAATAAAAAAATAGTTATACATTTTAATGTACAAAATTAATAATATAATGAATTGTGTTTAATATCATCAGGAATAAACTAGCATGGTAAATTTTCAATGTTGATTTCAGGTTGATTTCAAAGCAATGAAACTTACACAGACTCACAGACTCACAACCCAGCAATTGGGTATTGTTACAGGAACACACATCTCTGCATTTTTGTTAAACATGCAGTTTATGGGAACCGTTCAATTTACAGCACGTACAGGGAAGTACCAATATGTCCAAGTGGCTTCACCTTGCTATGTATAGAATGACATCAACTGTCTCTAATATATTATCTATGGTCCAATATTTCACTGTTTGTATGTTTTAATGTATTTTGAATGTGAATAAATAACAATTGCCACATTAGGGGTGAATAAGATGTTATCTGCTGTAATATTTTTATGCATGTGTTTATGAACAGTGTAAATCTCTGACAATGATTTAATTCTATTATGCTTCTTTAGAAAATTATTCAATACATAAAATCTCAAAACATTTTCATTTTCACCAAAAAAACAAACATACTTTCTCGAGCATTATCATAAGCAATTGTAATCACTTGATTTACAGCATTGTCATTTGCGATGGCCAAGTAATTTCTTCCCATGTAACTTTGTAAGTCTATTTCTTCAATTCCTCAATAGTAGAAACCAACATAGTTACTGCAGATGGAAAATAATGTTAAAGTATGAACACATGAACAGGCAAACAATGGCTATAGTCTATGTAGTACATGTATTCACTGATTTTTTATGTTTGAGCAAAAACATTATGACAACTGACAGACATGTCAAGGTCTGGGATATATTAGACGGTAAGTGAACAGTCAGTTTTCTTATTTGACGTGTCAGGTGCAAGAGAAACGTGAAGGTGTGAAGACCCAAATGACTTTAAGGGACGAATCGTTATGGCCAGACAATTGGGTCTAAGCATCTCCAAAATGCTGCCGGGTTGATCCATTTTGGCAGCACACGAACGACCAACAGCATTTTAATCAGGTGGTGGTACTGTTTTGGCTCATCGGTGTACACACACACACACACACACAAAATATATACATAATAAAGAAACAGACAATGCTTGTTTATATGTATATATATCAAAATTTTATTCTACATGTGATACATTAGAAATGAATGTTTGAAGAACATCCTTAGGTCCCAGATACCAGTATCACCATATAAAGCTGGTTTTCATGAATAAATAGATATACATTATGCAAAATGGTACAGTTTAACAGCTTTTTGTAAAGCATAAAATACTTTGTGATGATTTATCAATTAATCAATAACGGTGAGAAAAATAATTTAAATCCCCCAAAATTTTACTCACTCCAGATATAAAGGAGTACAAATTCATCTAAGATGTCCACGAAATGATCACATTTAATCTTAAACGTTCCATAACAATCATCTGTATTTATACAGCAATTGCAGTATTTGCATTTGTTAAAGTATGTGAAGACCTGCAAAACCCGTCCGTCTGTATGAACAAAAATGAGATGATCCACCCCCCCAAAATAAACAGTCCTAATACAGTATATTGAATCATACATGATCTATCATACTTAACTGACTTCAGATAAAATCACACTTAAACAAAAGTATACTATTCCCAGTTCACACAGTACAAGAAATGAAATAAGGAAAGTACAATCACTTCTTAGTCAGTTCACAACTCATTGTGAAAGTGCATATTCTAAATTTAAGAACCTGTTAACAGTTGGCATCTAAGGACTTCTTTTTGCTGGTTTTCAAGGACACATTTTGTAAGCGTTCTCCTTTCTCTCAATGCTTCTACATCAAATTGGCTCCAACTAAACAACCGTCACACATGGACCATTCTCTGGTGTAACTGCCATCCAAGTCATCTTAAACAACAAATCACAAAATGTGACAGCAGCACATATGGCACTACATAGAGACCAGCCTCGCTCACTGCAAGTTGAGGTGCAAAATGTCCGTTTTAAGGAGAGCCTTAAAAGCTTCATGAGCACCATCTAATGGGCAAATCATGACATGATTCTACTCTCATTAGGAAACTGCAGCCGAAGTACAGTCTTCTCTGATTTAGCATATTGTATGTATAATGAGAATTATAGCAATTTCTTAAAAGATCATAAATCACTGATTCGCCAAGAAATTAGCAGCTACATTTCCAACATCACAAGTTAGGCTGCACAAATGTGGTATAGTGGATTAGCACAAAAAACAAAAACCCAAATGCCAAAAAAACACCACCCTGTGCAACATCCTTAAAAAACATCAGATGTAGTGAGCAAAGTCCTAGAAGGTAAAATCAGGACATCTTCAGAGCTACACTATTTGCTTTATATTTGTAAATTGACTGATGTTTCTCTAGTCAAACAATTATATTCATTGTTATTGCATTAATTTTTTATTAAAAGAGGGGTACTGAAAACATTTAGATTATAACTTGATTAAAATACATTTGACAGGGATTTTTTTGTTGTAGTGTTATTTTACAAACTAAAATAGGTTTAATGGGTTTCAAACCTGTCCACTGTAATAGAGCGAAAACAAACTTCTTTGAGCAAATTACGCAAATTTCTATGTGTAGCATTTTTTTAGCGTCATCAATATTTTATTCAACAACACAGAATGAATGAGTGAGATAAAATCACTGAACTGCAGCTCAAAAATCAGCTCTTCAGCAGTGAGACTTCACTCTCCTTGCAAAAGTAATTTCAATGGCCTAACAAAAATATAACCTTTATTCAACTTACGGGAATATTCCAAAAATAGTATTTAAGCTTAATAAAAACTTAACACAATTAAGAGACGATTCCATTTATACATTTCAAACGAACGGTTGTGTTCGGTTACGTTGTGTGTAGTTAACACACCCGAGGGAATTTATAGGCCACGATACACTGTAAAAAATACAACAGGTGAATGAAACCGTCAGATGGATCACAGGTGCAGATGAAGCAACTTCAAAAGAGCAACACCAAAGAACTATGGATTAAAAAAAAACAAAAAAACTGCAAATTCAAGGTTTTCAGAAAAATTCTTCACATTAATGAAAGCAGTGCTTCTCATGCATTGTGACACTAGTTATGATCAAAGTCTGCTCTCTCTGATCTCACAGACAATAATAATAATAATAATAATAATTAATTTTTCTTCCTATTTCCACAAACTGCATCCAATCCGGACACATTACAACCCTATATCATTCTTAACAACTTTGAAGAAGCCTACTGTTAATTACAGCAACTGCTGTGAAGTGCAATGGACAATTCCTTACAAACATTAGCACAGGTCTGTGTGTCTCTCCAGCATTGCTATTTATTGGTTTGAAGGAGGGCTACCATCCCTGCCATTAGAGGGAGCTGCTCTCACCCTCCGTGTTCAAATACTCTGAGTGATGTAGAAGAAGAACTCCATGTCCATTGCTTGGTGCGGCACACAGGAGCTTCCACCATGAATGACAGGGATGAGTGCTCCATCCAACTCATTCATATATTTCTGAGGCAGAAGACACCCGCCTGAGCCCGCCTGGTACTCGACCTAATAAAAAAATAAAAATCAATGCAGTGAATTCAATGAGCCATTAGGGGCAAGCAAATGAAACAAAAATTCTAGTACATGAGACCTACTCTCTAGTAGAGAGTAAAATAGACAGGCTTGTCCTGAAAAAGGGTGTCAACCTGCCAGCTAATTAATGTACATGGAAAAACCATGATTACAATACATGGGCAACAAATCTGTTGCTGGGCAATACCATACTTTGCTGTGAAAATGCTCCTTGTCTTTTCAGACAATTGCCTATAAAAAAAACCTCAAATGTCTAAACAATGACAAAATAATAATGCTAATAAGCAAACACAAAACAGTTACCATATCAGTATCAGTAGAAACTCTGAGTGCAAGTGAGTTGATTCCACTTCCGATTAGGACAGAGAGGTGAGGACAGAGTGCTGCGCAGCCTGCAGTAGCAATTTCTCTCTGGAACTGACTGCAGGAGGGGAGAATGCCAGAAAGGGAGCAATCTGGGCTCTTCAGCAGGTAAAAGACCTGGTGAGATAAAAGAGGGATGAATGAAGCAGAGTCTGTAGTAGCGGTTTAAATCTCGCACCTTACAACAATTACATCTGATTATCATACTTCTGGAAACGAGTAAATGAAAATCTCAAATTTCACCAGGATTTGATCTGATTATTTTGGAATTATTTTTAAGAATACACTGAATATATAAATGTAACTGGAGGTATTATATGCAAAGTAAGGGAATGTAGACAACAAAACAATACACCAGGGCAGTGTTTCTTCATCCTGCTCCTGGGGATCTGCAGTTTCTACTATTGCCTGCTTCAACATTCTTGATCCAGCTCATCAGCTGATCATCAAGCCCTTCATAAGCTGAAATTTAACACGTGAAGAAACAGGTTCAAAGAAATGCATGCACATGAAAGTGTAACATTTATGATGAACAGCCAGTCACATGACACATAAGGAGCTTAGGAGCTTTTTACATTAAAAAAATCTTAATACATAAATATGCAAAAAAAGTACATATATAGGCTATCATGTTAGTGCTTATTTCCTCGGCTAAGAAGTGTTTGTGATTCACACTTCAAATGTGACACAAAAAAAATATAATGACTCTCAATGGACAATCCTCTTCTACCAGAAGCCTGTCTCTGATTGGTCCAAGAGCTATTTATGATCAGGAATGTTAAACTTAATCTGCATTGGAGCATGCAGTACAAGTTGCCTTGGTGATGTAATCCAGTAAAAAAAAAAAAAATGATACACCACTGAGAGACAGAAAATCCAGAGTTAGATCAAACTAAGTGAACTAAGCTAATCTAAGTTAGCTGGCTAAGCAAGAAATTCTGCTTTATGAGACCGGTGCCAAGTGTCTTGGAAGTGGTTAAAACCATGCAAGGCAGTATGTCCCCTGGAGTAGGAATAAGGAACACTGCACTGTGTTCTTTTTTTACATCTCAAAAGAGGCTGAAAATTTTATTTGTCAAAAAATGAATGCATACATAAATACTGTTCCAATCGATGCAGCTCCAAATACATTTTACATTCTAAAAGCCTTTACACAGCAAGTGAGATTTATTTAGACAAGAAATGAAATAGAGCATGTGTATAACAATTTTTTCCATTATTTTATTGGCTCTGTTTGATTTTGCTAACTTATCATAAATTCTCTGACTAAAATCATCATCTCTGCCAATGGCATGTTGACAAGCAAGATGATGGACTGGATGTGTCCCTTCAACTGGAACACCCAAAGGGCACTCAAACTGGGCTACGAACAAGCTATATGGGGGAAGAGTTTCATCTTGTTCGGGGCTCCTGAGTGGTGCACGAACCCTCATGATGCTACAGGTATCCATAGCCAGGAATCCAAAACAGCACAACTGGCCTCACTCTCTCTAGGTGGGCAGGATGGCCCTCCTTATCCCCCACATCACGTAGCACAGTGGTAGTTATGTAACAGAACTGGTGGTTGACATTCTTCTCCAAGATGTCACTAACGCAACATCATTGGACATCATTGGACAAAAAAGGTGATGTTAACTGCATGAAGGACATACCTCAGTACACCTGATTATCCGCCCATCCATCTCAAACTCTGAATCCTGCTGGATCCGGATACTGGGTACCCCCTCCAGAGACCTCCCATCTATGGGGCTGGTGACACTATAAACAAAACACACATACACACTTAAATTTTTTCTACTATGAGTCTAAGGGTACATTAAATCATGTTTACGGTAATGTTTATGCTTCTGCCAGTCTGATTTAAAACCAAAGCCAAGGACTCTATTAAAAGCACCTGTCTAACTTGTCAGCAGGAGTGCATAAACTACAAAAATACTCAAGAAGGCTAGCAGCTGATTAACCACAGGCTCTCAATTACTATTGATCTGGATCGAATTCAGTGCTCTATGTGCAGTACCCTTTATTGACTGGGGGCGTCCAGTCCACCCAGCGCACGCTAACATTTTCCCGAGCCTCTGTAGAGTTGGCTTTCCCGCAGGTGATCTGGAAGTCTGCTTGATCCCTCAGGGCCTGCCGCAGAGCCTCCATGGTCTCCGGAGGGATTTGCACCATTAACCCATCTGAAGGTTTCCCAACAGAGAAATGTAAGACTACATATCAAGCTCCATACAGCAGGTAAAATCAGATTTAAAAAAAAAAAAAGACAAAAATATAATAAAAAAACATTAACTGTCTTTGCGTGGTCTAATATTCTAATGAGCACACTACATCGGACATCAGACAGCCAGATGAGTTAGCTTGAGCGCTCAGTTTTCTTTCGCTTGGTTCTTTAGCTTTATCTGGGTAAGTTTCTCTAACTCGAAGACAGAGACACCTAGAGGGGCACAATTTTGTTAAAGCTGTGGTGACAGGGCAACCCCCATCAGCCTTGTGACTAGGGAGGAGGGTACTTATTTAAGCTTTACCCAAGATTAGGACCACCCAGTTTGCACAGAAAAAGGAGAATCTTGCCAAAATACTTCAGGTTTTTTGCTGGACATAGAAAAGTAATTCACAGGACATACTTCACACATGAATAGTGTGTCTACTTGAGCAAAATTAACATACTTAGGAAGAAAACACAGATTTAGGTTCCCTGGGGCTTCAATAAACGTTTTTTTTTTTTTTGCCTGTAGAAACTCACTCAGAAATATTAATATTACTAACAAATGCAAACATGTAGGGGTTGTTTGTTTTAACTGAGACATTGCTACTGGCTAACTAGCTTTTGGTTAGCCATTTACACAGTAGCACATTACAAAGTTAAACACATTACCTTCAACAATGCTAGATTTGGCAATAAATCCTGAAGAAGCTTTCAGGGCACCATTGAAAACAACAAAGCTTGCTCCAGTCACTGCAAAAAAAAACAAACAAAAAAAAACAAAAACAAAACAATCAATCAAGTTAAAATGGTTGCCACTGAAGTGATGGGTTAAGAAAGGATAAACTGATTGACTTGCATTAGGAGTCTCAAACTACCAAGACAGTTTCACATGGCCCAACACATTTACAAAAATATTTAATAAATCCAGCCCATTTCCCCTTTTTTATGTGGCTAAATATTTACGTCAGCTTAGGCTGATGCTTACTAGATGCTTACTTACTTGCAAGAGAAACAATCTAAACAAGAATCTAAATCTAATTCTGTGTCAGAATTAAGAAATAAATGTAAAAAATTTTTTTAGTGTATAGTAGTATATAGGAGAATCTAACCTCTCCTGGCCTTTCCCTGAATGCTGTTGGCTTGTGTCTGGTAACCTCCGTCCTCGTTCTGAACACAGACTAAGTGTGAGTCTGCCTCAGTACTGAAACAAGCTCCAACACTTATTACGTGTTCATTTGAGGAATTCACCACTTTTAGCATCTGCAACCAACACACATCGCTCAACAGAAATCCAACATCGTTTCAAAATACTTTAAATGAATGAATGAAGATCCTTGGCTTCACAAAGATCTTACCTCGTTAAACTTTGACTTGGGGATGTCAATGTAGCTATTGCCCACCTCCATGTGGATCCGCAGACCATCAACTACAGGCACGCTGTACTGGTAGTTCCTCAGGTCCTGCATTAAAATTCATAACACACAAGTGCCAGTATTCAATAACTGTGATGTTAACTTCAACACAGTAAGACAATAAATGATACTCAAGGCACTTTAAACTAGCCAAGACACTGTGATGTTTACACACAAGCTGACATGCCATGTTTTTATGTAAAACATCAGTATGCACAGACAGTTTAGGACTGTTAGAAATTAAAACTGGAGAAAATAAATAAAAAAGCTGAAGTGAAACATATAGTATTTAACCAAAAAGCCATTTAATTTTTAGAGAGTGAAAGTGGCGGAGACCCAAACAGTCCTTGAGAGGATACATATCCTTAGTACTAATCTAATCAGTTGCCTGAACATTGCGACTGCAATTTAACTTGCCATTATTATCTATGAGGTATAAGTTTCAGGCCTGTTGTTTTTTTTTTGGCCAAAAAGTTCAGAATACCCACTTTTTCGGGTTTGAGGCTTGACCCCTGAATGTAGTGTGCCAAACTGCCAGTAAGTTGCAGTTGTGATGTCACAACACATGAGGTTTGGCTGCCTCTGATTGGTCTAACTCATTTTCAGGCAGTTCACAAGCTCTGTGTTATTAGGTTTAATTTATCTCTTAAAACTTAAGACTTTGGCTAATGCAGGCTACAATTAAAAAACAAATTGCAGCTCTTGCAATTTAAAAATCGTGCTCTATTAAATTGCGATTTCGAGATAAAAACAATTAATCTTTCAGCCCTTGTCAGAAGGTAACAAAAGCTCCTTTCTAAAGAACCGTCACTCCACAATAAGGCTGATAACTACATTAAGACAAATTTATCTTCATCCACAGAGAGCAAAATAAATCAACACTTAATACATTTTAAAATGTCAGCTACATAATGGCTTGTAAAGCAAGACAACTTCAAGATGTATTCTACAACACTTCAGAAAGTAAGGATGATAAGAGTATTAAACAGCGCCTGGGATTTTTAACAACCACATGTAGGAGCACCTTATTCAATTCAACTCTTCGCTATATGGCAAATTAGGCAGCTGTAATAAATAAATGATTGCCCACATTAAAAAAAAGAATTTTTGTTTTCAAGCTAGTCACCAGCAGCAATCAGCTGCCTGCTCTGTACACAGTAACAGTGAGCCTTTCAGAGCAAGATAAAGTCACTGAATTGAATAATGCTCATGAAGTTCATGGTATCCCATCTTTAAACATTGTTCAAGAGTTTTCCTTGAAGCAGTTAGTAGCAAATAAACAAGACTCCCTAGCTTGTTTTTCAATGGGCCTGTTTCATGCAGTTCTGTTTTTTTCTTGTAGCACCACTTTGACAATCGTCTGTCCCATGTCAGGGCAGGCGTTTGTCAAAATGGTGCTACTGGGGTTTAAGTGGTACAGGGCTGAAGCAAGATATACTGCTTCAAAATTATGTAATGTAGCTTAAAGTTGTTTAAGAAGCACTTTAAGAAGATGGAATCCTCTCAGTGATCAAAGTGCAGAGAAATGAAATGATACTTACAGCGAGCAAGTTCATGATGGTATGTCCAGTTTCTCTGAAGACAGATTCACGGAACCTGATACTAACAAGTGGGCTAGGATACACTGGGGAGTCAAAAAAAATCCAACTATAAATAAATATCAAACAGTGGAGAGGTTAAAGTTAAAACAGTGTGTTCAAGAAGGCATTTGTATAAGCATACAACAGCAAGGGGTAAACACATATGCACCTACAAATCCCTGCTTTACAGCCGTGAGAAATTAATTTATCAATACGTGTTTCTCTAACATGAACACAGACTGGTGTCTTTGAACAAACAATTTTTTATTTACTAGATTTTAGTCTAGCGTTCTACAGATTCAAACAACTTGGTGTTTGTGAAAATGGTGCTTTCAGTGGATGTGAAGGAAAGCTCTATGTTTGCAACAAATGATTATTTCCATATCGATTAATCAGTCCATTATAATTTTGCAAGGTGCAGTTATTAGTTAGTCAATAATTAACATTAAATATTTAATGTTGTATTTTAAAAAATGTAAATACATACATTATTTTTCAATTTCTGCTGAGCTTCTGCTGTCTTCTTCAAGATGCTCATGCTCAAGTTGATGTTTAAGTCAATTTTCAACATAATGTTTTACTTTTTAGGTAGTGCATGATGCTGGGCTGCAGTCTCCACAACTGATCGATAATAAGGTTCGCTGCCAAGTATTCTGTGTCATCGTTATCGATTTTAGTTGTAGCCTAACAAAGTTGGCAATCTGTTTGAATTCTACACTTTATCAGCTTATCAGCTTAACCACAGTTCATCACAGAATGAAAAGTAGCTCAACTATGCCAGAGAATGACTGGCACATCAGACCACAACCACTAAACACTATGCATTACAGCTTTTAAAGACATAAATGACACTATTTAGGAATTTCACAAGGATTCTACAAGGCTGGAATTTTTTTTATTGGTAAATTACCAGTCATGGGACCACTGTTTGTGACAGGGAAATGTCTAAAAGACACTCACTTCAGACCAAAATTATGCACATATGTCCAGGTAACAAAAACGTAATGGTGACACAGGAGCAAAGCCACATAGCATTCAGTAAAAAGTCAGCGGAAATCCCCAAATCTGTCCCTCAGCTTATCACTAAAAAACCTCTCATCACACCTCACACAAAATTTTGCACACTTTAACCTTTTATACTGAGGCTCAGTCTGGCTTACTGGCTTTCGGTGACATTCACTTCCCTTTACTTTATTCAGAACAATTTATACTTCCAGTTCCAGCAACAAAGGGTCTTGTTAACATACTGAACTAAGCCAGACTGCATTCACTTAAGAAACCACATATTGGACTGTAAATTGTGGGAGGAGCTATCTATAACTACTTCCTTCTTATCTTAACTCCAGTGCATTACATCTTTATAAGTATGAAAGTGACAGTTTTACACCATCTCAGCTACCACCATAAAAAATGCAATCTTCAAGACTGCATTCACAGTATGTTCCTTGACTGCCAAAGCCTCATTTGAAAAATAAAAACAGCAATATGCTGGAAGGTTACCTTTGTATTCTGCTCCCAAACTGAGTAATAGGCGGAGGGGGAACACTTTGGCCCAAGGTACCTCCAGTTTCTGAATGAGAACTGCACACAGAAAGGAGCTTGTAGGTAACCCAAGCCCATCCAGAGGCTGAAAGCTTGGAGAGAAGAAAAGGAAGCCGCCATGATCCTTACTGCTCAGAAAACTGTCTGTAAACGTCACATTGCCAAGTTCCTCAATATATTTTCCTGAAAAAAAAAACAACATAAATAAATAAATAGAAATAAATATTAGAAACCATTCGGTCATTTAATTTTCACAAAATCAGTTTCTTGACAGGAGGAAGATCTGATGTACAGTACCATGCAAAAAATCCTAGACATCCAAAAAAATATATATTTAAAACAGCCATTTATCTGGGTAGCTAGCTTGGCAAATTAAATTAAATCTGGTAAGAACAAATCCATGTAATAGTCTGGGGTGTTGAGGAACTTACCTTTTAACCTATTAGTGTTTACTGTATTTGTTTATTTGTATTTTTCTAATGTTAGTGTTTTTACTGGCAAAAACATTTACTGCTGAGACAAATGGTTGTCAAAATTTTGCTTAGGTGCCTAAGGCTTTTGCAGAGTACTGTAATATTATTATTATTATTATTATTATTATTATTATTATCATCATTATTATTATCACCATCATCATCATCATCTACATCTGTATATAAATATTTTTGGTAAAGCCTCATGCTCTGCCCATGACTTACCCTTCTGAGCATCATGGTATATGCTAATGTAAAAGCTAAAGATGTCTTTTGGCAGACTGTTCTCCTCTGGGAGGCACTCTATAACAAACACCAGCTCTCTCTGGCCCACTCCTTGCAGACCATTAGAGCTCAAACACCAGCACTTCCGCCCACAATCTAAAACACATACACAGTTTTCAGTACAATGGTTAAGAAAAATAGCACTTTTCATTTCAGTTGAGAAACATTTAAAGAAAAAAAAAAAGTAAAGTACTTTACACAGGAAAACAAGCAAAGGATTAGAAAACATTAATGGTTATTTGAAAAACATGTCAAAGAAAAGTAAATATAGAATTAAAATAATGATACAAATCATGGAAAAATAAGTGCCACATTTTTTTAATTCTGTGGGCATAAAACGTACATGTGACCAGTTTGACATTAACCACAAGGTTGGCATTCAGCACAAATGTCAAAGGTCTTGGGCCTCCCTCCTCTAATAGCAGCATTATCTGACAGGCAGCAGGGCGCTCTTCTACTAATAAATCTGTAATATGGAGAAGAGTTACACATTACATCACATGTACATAGTACATGAAATCAAATGTTTAAGCCAGTCTGACCATTTACATGTTTTTGTGACTTAAACACCTCTAGTCAACACCCCAAAAACATCAGGGTTGTACAGGAGCTGTTCTCACCCCCTCCATCTTCCTCTCCTGTGGTAATTAGCAGTGGTGGAAGCCCCTCCTCATCTTCAGGGATAAGACTTGCTGCCCCCTGCACATAGCCGCTGAGCCCACAGAGCAGGGCATAGTCCCAGGGCCCGCTGACAACTCGACGGGTCACCTCCGCACCACTCTCAGAACTGTCCACAGAACCTTCGCTGCCTTCTGGAAATTTACAAGCATGCTAAAAGAAGACAGCACAAGCAATTGGTCAGATATATTTTAATTTGACCTTCCTTTTCCATACTCGTTAGCTTGAACTGAAAAATGTGCATGTTCTTAACTATTCTTGCATTCATGCATAGATTCCTAGACAGGCTGAGATTAGTGCATATTTTAAATGGGGAACTGCTGTCTGGAAAAATGGGTCATAAAGATAAACGGCTGGGCTTTAAAAGACCATCTATTATTGTAACACTTATAATTAGTGACAGTATAAAACTATGAATACATTGTAGCTTCAAAGGAGAATTGCCTTAACTTAGACCATATTACTACAGGGTTATACACGTGCCGTTGGAGGGTCTGGCGTAACTGGACTGGACTCCTGCGAGGATCTCCTAGGCCTTATAGAGAGCTTGGTGGTATCTGCCACCTCACCGTTAGGCAGTATTCCATCAGCAAACCATACATGTTTCTGTTCTCTTGGGAAACCTGACAGCAAATAAAAATATGCCATGTGAGAAGAATGAGAGTAAAACATCTACACTAGGGAAGGCACAATTTCTTGATTAAACATTTTTTAAAAAGAAATACATAAAAAAAAATAATAATAATAATAAAAAAATAAAATAAAAAAAACTTCCCATAGGGTACTGTTAATGTGGCTACATGACTCCTACATAAGCTTGTAATGACAACTGACAAAACCCTACATAAATGTTCATAAAGGCTTATTTCAATATGCGTCATCTGTCATAAAGCTACTTTGGCTAACTTTGATCGAAACTGTCAACAATAACCTTACAGTTGTGCATGACCTTAATAGTGAATGACACCTACTGGAATAAGCATTTATAAACATTTATGTAGGGTTATGTCAGTTGTTATCACAAGCTTATGTAGGGGTCATGCCTCATTAACAGTACCCTATGGTAAGTTTTAGAAAATGTAGTTTGGTCTCTCTTTCAATAAGAAATAATAATATTTAAGAAGTCTTTTTTTTCAGGATTCCCAGATTACCTACTATTCAAAAGAATATTTCGGAATGTTTGAAAAGCAATGGGTGGTTTATTATTAAGGACACAATCAGAATCATCCAAAATTTGAATGAGCAGATTTTTGTTCCAAACACACAATTGCCAATTTATTATTTTGATTCTGGCTGATCTGTGTTGCAATTTTATGACATTAATATTGTGAGTCACGTAAGAGCACTCATTCTGTATGTGAATACTGCAGCTGCACCTATACCAAGTCGCATAATAATTCCGCAATTATATAATCATTCTTTTCATAATTTAAATGCAGCATTTTATTTGATTTCATGTTATAAGAACTTAAAATGGCAGTTTGACCTGTTAAAGTTATTTACATTGCAACTACAGGTGGCAAAGTATATCACAATACTAACATCCATCCATCATCTAAACCGCTTATCCTTCTAGGTCACGGTGGGGTATTGGAGCCTATCCCAGCTGTCATTGGGCGGAAGGCAGGATACACCCTGGACAGGCCGCCAGTCCATCGCAGGGCAACAATACTAACATCACAAGCCTTTTTTTCCCCATTATACACTATATGTCTATCGTTACAAAAAATGGTCAATGGCCAATGGATTGGTGCACCTCCATTTTTCTTACTGTGCAGACATCATTGTTCAGCCCTAATTCACACCAAAATTATCCAAGTCTAGCTATATCTCTCTCTTACACCTGCACTGCCTGGTAGCCTGCATTTATTCTATTTCTGGGTGTCATATTGCAATACAAATTCACCTAGAACAGAAGCACCAACTAGATTTCAGCTACGTTTAAGACATTAGATAATAAAATGCACATAGTTCTCTCTCACAAAGATGTGAGAGCTGGCTGATGCACAGCTGTGCCTTTTGTCCTCAATGCACACCCAAGCTTGGCGCACTGAAGCGTGGGAGAGGTGTGTGTGTGTACCATCGTTGCCGGGATGCTTGAGGACAGACACGGGCACCATGACCGTGGGTGGGGGGGAGTTGAGGGTGCCGGCTGCTCGAGCCTGCTGCATAGGTGGGATAGTGGAGCAGTACTCGGATGGGACGTTGGGGTTGGGACTAGGCCCAGTGGGGCTCATCATTCTCTGTAGTGCCTGAGCTGCAAAAATACAAACAATACATACCATTATTTCCATGTAAAAGCTCTTGGCATAGCTTTTATTTTGAAAGAGAAAAATCCATGTTAAAAAAGAAAAGCCTGAGGTTGGTTTATTTAAGATTTTGGTTGTGTGCAGATGTGCAGACTCATTACTTGTAGAAACACATCAGAAAAATAATCAATAGTATAAACACAACAAAAATTAGAGGGCTGCTCCTTTCATCATTAACAATGTTCAAGTCTATGACTTGGTACTTGCCAAAGTCCAAAAATCATGTTATAGTGCAATGATCACTGGCTCCAATCCAAAACAAGCAAAATAATTAACCTTCATGTTTACTACAGTGGTGCATATCAGTTACAGCTAGAACATCAAAGCCAACAAGCTGATCAAAATAACTGCAGACCCAGCCACAGGACTGTGCACTGAGTTAAGTAAAAGTTGTTTTCAAACAGAATGTCCAGTGCCAGCCCCAGCATCCATAGCTGCTGACTCCTAGCAAAGTGCTGAGTAAGTCTTGCCTTGCAGTAAATTGATTAAGTGTCATACAACCTCATCAACCCGATTACATTGCCACTGGATCGAGTGATAAAGTAAAGCCAAGAGTACAGTCTGCAAACATGTTCATGTACAATGAGAACAGACAACAGAGCTATAACAATAAATCAAGACAGTGGCAGGCTAAGACGTGTACAGGAAAGGCTCCGGATGTCCTTCAAATGTTTTGAATTTGACGATGTCCTGAGCACAAGAAGCGACCAGATATGCTTTATTAGTGCAAAAGAGACCTCAAGGAAGTTATGTTACAAAGCTTAGATCTGCTGCTTTTAATGCAAAAATGCAGAAACTATGATTCTGTATAAGACAGCCTTGATTCTAGTTGCCTAGTAATTTCCCTTACCTCATTCTGGTCGTACCCGAATTCCCTTTCATCTTAGCCCAGTGGTGTGTGTTAGATGCAGTCTCTCTGGTGTATTTTAGCCTGAACTGAGCAGGGAGGTGAGCATGTCCCATGCTGATGCTCGAGCGAGTGAGACAGAGAGAAAGATAAGAAGAGAGAGTGCATTCTTCCGCCTCAGGACTCTCACTCAGGACGGGGAGCAGCCCACTTTCACTCGCACATGCTGAGGTCCCGTCTGTCCCCGGGCCCCCTCCAGTCTTGTCCTGGCTCTAACCACCGCAATAAAACAAGCAAGCTCCAACCTCTCTCCCTCTCTCTCCCTCCGTCAAATGACTGCCAAGATGGACGAGTGTGGCTTAAATGGCTGCCTGGGCTGAGAGAAGACCGAGCGGAGCAGTGAAAGGTGATGCACACCTCCCTCTCCCGAAGCGAGACGCTAAGGAGATGGTTGAGTGTTACGTGAGTGTGTGTGTGCGCCTGAAGTGGAAAGCAGAGAGTCTGAGAGCATTGTGCATACTCACACCAGGTGGGTCTTTACCACACACAGTCAAGGACATACACCACTGCCCTGAGGCTCCACCCAGTAACTCTCTCTCTCTCTCTCTCTCTGCATCATTCCGTCAGAGAGCCGGCTGGCCTCTAGCAGCTCTGACACTGTGGTGATGAATGTCCTTTTTAATGTGCAAATGGACTTCATGCACTGCTAAACGTTGCCGACCCCTTTTTAGATTCCTCAGGAGATCAGCCCATCAAAACAAACCCATTCTCTCCAAAATTACACAACAATAAAACTCTCTCTGCAACTCTCATACTAATTTGATCAAACCAAAAGAAAAAGAGGGAAACTGCATAACATTCAACATTTTCTAGTGTTAACGTTACAAATGTAAATACGCCTGGCCTAAGGAATTTGAGCACGCAAACATTCATTTATGTTGGTATCCGGGTCTATTTAGTATTTGGAAGCATTGTAAATCATCCACAAAAACTGTGGCCTAAAGAACACCATTCACCATTTCCTCAGCATCACCTTGTCCGTTGCTGCAAAGGGAGCCATTTTGACAGTAGAACCTGTCCAACCTGACTCGTACCACCAGCGTACTTTCACCCGGTGAACTATCAGGGTTGACCAGCAGTTTGACAGAAAGTCTGTGTGTTTGCAATGCATTCATGTTCTGGCACAGAGAAAAATGCTCAGTAAAAAAATAAGAGGCTGGTATTCCATGGAGCCATGACAAATTGATGAATCAAATATTTAAGTACAGTGACATTTATCCCACCTGTTTAACTGGGTGAGTTCTGGCACTTGAAAAGGACAGGAAATACCAATAGGTTTTCCAAGTCTGTAAAATGCTGTTCAGGTAAGCCCTAAATATAATGTCTCGAAATTAATTTGTGGTATTAAACAGCAACAAATTGCGAAAACAAAGCTTGTATTTCAGTTCAGGTCATAAATGGCAAAAGTCGATGAAAAAAAAAAATGACAGTCAAACCCACCTCCATAATAACACTAATTTCTGCTGGGATTCTAGTAGTATAGGATGAAACATGCAAATTTGAAGCTTGCGAAAGACGTTTCATGTTTCATTTAGGCTTTTAACAGCTATATTACCTAGCTGTTTCCACCTAGCCACCGCGGAGAAAAAAAAACTGATTGGACAAATTTCCATTTGTGTGTTTCAATAATTTAACCCCTTCATTTCTAACCAAAACAAAACAAATAGTATTATTTGCACAAGTATGATTATACTGAATGAAAAAAATAACTAGAAAAAATGACTTTTTTAGACTGTTTTCAGAAATCACTATGCCTTAAAGCCTCTGGAGGTTCCCATCTGGTTTTAAATCAGTACTGGCATACACTAAGATTTAAAAGGTATGACATTATCATTATATTGCCTGCTATTATGGCTGAGATGACATTGCAGCAAATTTTCACCAATTACTATCCTTGTTATTACAAAGAAAACAAAATAATAATAATAAAATAAACACCATTCACTGCGTCAACTGATCTGACTAACTTAATTCTTGGTCAATGTCTCAAAAAACACTACTGGACTGTACCTGACAACAGAAATAGTTTGGAGAGAGTAGTTTCGATTTCCAGACAAGTGAACAATCAATTTAGTTCTATCAACTAAAATGTCCAGAGATATGCGAAAGAAGGCAGGATTTATTTTCTGCTTCCTTCACGTGTGGTGCATAAAATTAATCTGACATGCTCCATTTAACAGGGAAACTGTATCAAATCCAGACCTCGCTTTGTAAATCATGAAGGCTGGGTTTATCATGACTACAGAAGAAGCATTTTCTTTCCTAAGTGAGTTCTATATTTTAAAAACATAAATATGACATTAAAAAGTAACAGTTTTAAAGCCAAACTCCAGTATTTGCAAGATGCATATAAACTGTTCAAATTGTTACTACAAGCATGTTTTGTGTGATAATTACACCCAATACATAATTACTTTAAGTGTTGCCTATATGTGCCATGAGTGCTAACAGCTTATGATGCATGATTCTTTATGAATATTTTTTATTCCCTTGTGCCAAAGAGGAAAGATAGATTGATTGAGTGGGCTTTTGAGAGTAAACTAGTACCAACCAACAAAATATTCAACATAAGCAGCTTCAAACAACCTAAAAAAGGGTCCACCTCATTCTAGACAACATGCAACACATTCTGAAGATTGAAAGTCTCAGATATCTATCAAGGCCATTTTAAGAACTACTTGCAACTCAAACAACCATCAATTCTCAACAAACCAAAACACAACTTGGCCCAAGTTTTGAAGCATTGTGTTTGCTGATATAGAGAGGAGTGGTGCACAACCGAAAACATTTTTGATTTAGCTAAACAATTTAAGTATTTAAGTACGATTAATCATGTTTCATATGAACAACTCATACATCTCTGCTACAAATGAAAATATGAGCACTGTTTCCAGCACTTACTGTTTGTGAACTAGAAAACCTACAACTACAATTTTTATTAATTGCATTACATACTGCACTGCAATAAATTCATTTAAACAGCTATTTATGATCACTTTGCAATGAAACATAGTTAGCGAGTGTTCTTCGGTACAGTGTTCTTCAAGTACTGACGATATCCACAATATGCTCAGACAAAGCAAAAATTACAAATTACTCTCCAGGCAGGGTTAACTGTCACACAAGAAGGGGCTAAAGTCTTATAAATTGATGTAAGCACGGTTAATTCAATCCGATTTCTGTTTCTGACGTAAACTCATAAAAATATATGAATCAAAATGAATGTAACTAGTTTAAAAAAAAGGAGAGAGGCTGTGTCAAACAAGGTAGAACAGCAAACATCAAAAAGATAAACCTGAAATATATATTTTTTGCATGACATCTATAATAAATTTTGATTAATACAAACTGCAAATACAAACTTCCAATTAAAATTGGGGTCTCATTGCTTCCTACAGGAGGGTTAGCTGTACCACTACTTTAAAACTAATCCTGACATGTGGAGGCTGGGCGTTAGTCTGGCTAGCTCTCACCAGGGGCCAGATTACACTGTGCATTAGCACAGTTTTGCATTAGTGTGTTTTTAGTGATCTGCTCATGTTTGGATTCCACATGATGCATTTTCGTTTTGATTTTGTGACCGGAAATGCCTCTACTAAGCGCTGACTAGCAAAAGAGAAAATAAAAAACAAAACAAAAGCTGGAGGGTACATGAGGCTGAAGTTAGCCCCAAACCAAGTGCCTTCGTGCACTCCAGGCCGAAGACAGCATCCAAGCCAAGCACATCCACTCTTATCATAATGGGGAGAAAAGAGTAAACGAAAATAAAACAGAAACATGTTGACATTGCTTTTTAAGCAGGAAAAATTACAGCTGAATCTCATCTGGACAAACAGGGGATGGAAATTAGTGAAAAGGGTAGGTGGAAGGTGTAAACAAGCTCTATGAGTCTCCTGCTTTAAAATGGTGCACTCGCTATGGAAATTTGCAGATGCTGCAAGAATACAAGACAACTAGAGCGCATTTCACATGAACCTGTTCAACAACAATAAATCTGAGATTGATCAGGATGCTCAAAGTACGATATACTAATTACTGTGAATTGTTACAGAACTCACATGCATACTGGGATCAACACATCAGCATAAAAAGGCAAATACTACGATAACAACCAACAATTAATATATTGTTCAACCACAATGTACAAGCTCAAAAGTAAATGAGGATGGAGCCAAATACACTCACCTCTCTGTATGGTTTCATAGCAGACCACACAAACTCTGGCCTCTTTCTCCAAGTATTTCAGTCTGCATTTACGGTTGCAACAAAGGGCACAGTATACCTGAAATTGTCAGAGGTTATATGATCAATACTTAGTTTACCTTCCAACTTAATATCAAAAACCAGGCTTAAGTCTTAAAAACAGCCTTGTGTTGGAAAAGTGAGAATCTATAAAAATGATATTAGTTTATTCTTTTCAAGACGTGTTTCTCTATATTTTAGCGTGTGTGCGTATACACACACACACACACACACACACACACAGAGCACTTTATTAGGTACACCTCCTTGTATCTATACACATTTTCCATTTTATCAGCTCTACTTATTATATAGGAGCATTTTGTAGTTCTATAATTACAGATGGTAGTTCATACTTTGTTAGCCCCCTTTCACCCTGTTCCTCAGTGGTCAGGCCCCCCTAGAGAACCACCACAGAGCAGGTATTATTTGGGTGATCGATTATTCTCTGCACTGCAGTGACACTGATGTGGTGGTGCATGTTAATGTACCAGACACAGCAGTGCTGTCATGCTGCCATGTTCAAACTACTCAAACACTACCCCACAGAAAGAAATTCACAGCTAACAATGTCACATCACACAAAGTGAGTGTGCTATTTCAGGCTACTGGACTTGATCAAATAAATTTTTTCTTTTCCTCCAAAAACTGGTCTAGCATTGGCGATATCATGCCAATACTGATAGGCAGTATCAGACTGATGCCAACTCAAACCAACATGGACCATAACTTAGTAGCAAAGCAACCCTTCCCTATGAACTACATGGTAGAGCACAAAAGGGAAGTGAAAGCAGAAAATGACTTACTTTGCCACAGGCTCTGCAGTGATGCCTCCTCTTAGTGAAAGTAAACTTTTGCCCACATTTCATGCAGTTTGGAGCCTCAGAATCAGGGACCCAGGCAGGCTGCCTCGAGCCCAGGCCACCGTCCACTGTTCCTGACTGATCAAGTTCAAGTAAAGATTCTCCTTCTCCAGAACTCTCTCCTGGATATGGAGGTGGCTCTGAAAGCTCATCGTGACCATAACCGTCATCATAAGGTTCATGAATGGGATATTCAGAGTTACCCTCAGTGTGGCTGGGAGACTGCCTCACCATGGGAGCTACAGGTGAAGACTGTGTGCTGTTCTCCTCCTCAGAACTCAACATATTCTCCTCAGACTGGTTGCTACTATTCTGCCCCTCTTGGGGTAGTACTAATCTTGGTGTTTGGCTAGACAGCTGCTTGGGTCGTGCTCCTCCATAACATGGTTGCTGACTTACATTGCACACTGCCTGAATATCAGTGGGACTGGGCATGTCATGTATTTTAGCTGTTTGGGTGGTGTCTGCTTTCAATGGACTACTGTCCTGAGATGAGGAGGAAAAATTGGAACCCTCACCCTCCTCTAAAAACCGAAGAGACCTGTCACTTTCAGGTGATGCAAACGTAGTTACTCGACAACTTTGTAACTCTTCCTCTAAATCCACATTGAACTCTGAAAAGCCATCATCAACAAATTTCTCTGCTGACATCTCAGGGCTGCTTCTCTGTGCCTGACCCATCAAATAAGCATCTAGTTCTTCATCAGTTACCATCATCATATTTTGCTCACTTTCAGGAAGGTAATCACTGGTAAAGACAAACTCTGAGGGGTAATCAGGGCTCCCTGCATAGCTAGGAGACTGGTTACTCTCAGGCAATTCTCTAGTGTTAAGTTTCTCTGGAAGAGATAAGGTGCATTCAAAAATTCTGTCAGAGGGAGGAGTTATAAGGGCTGCTGCCCCTTCTGGATTTGCCATTATTTGTACGAGTTCAGGATCATCCTCGGGGGAGGAATCTGGCTGGCTAAGACATATGGAAGTCCCAACTTCCTCAGAAGGAATAGCAAAGTTCTCTGCCTCTTCAGTGGCTAGTGTCTCTTCGGAGTCAGGGGAAGGTACTCCAGTCTCTTCTTTGGTTTCATGCACTGTTGTCTCTTGAGGTTCCAAAGAGGCCACAAGAGATCCACACATGGATACAGCCATGGGGAGGCAGGAGAGCGAAGATTCCTTTTCTCTGGGAGGAAGGGCTGAGGAACCTTCTTGTTCCCTGTTGATGTTGTCTCCTGAGTGCTGCATGTGTGTTGAGTTAGGCAGGCTTGTACTGACAGCACTGGATAATGTAACGTCCTCTGTTACATTTGAAGAAATTGCGCTGTTGGGGATTATTTCATCTTCTAAAGAGGATTGGGAGTTGCTATGAAGTTCAAAAGAGCCCGATGCCTCTGGACAGCTACTTTGAGGCATCTCCACTTCATTACTCTCTACAGGTTTTAGATCATTTGAAGTATTCTGAGGTTCACTAGTCCTCTCAACAGCTGCAGGCAATATAACATCTAGCAAACTAAGAGCGTTTGAGGAGCCACCGAGATGACCACCAGAGTCCAGTCCCTGCAGCTCATCATGACTGGACTTAAACACATCCCCTGGAAATGATATAACTGGACTATCAAAATCTACCAGCAGCTCATCCTCAAGCTGTTTTTCAGTCAACTCCAGCTGTTTGAAGGCATTGTGACTGTTTGTCTGAGGCAGATTGGCAGATCCTGTATCATTAACAAGGTCACAGACAGGTTTTAAGGATCTATCTGGACAAGGAGGAGTCAAACTTTTGGAAGCTCTGTTGTCAACAGAGGACAGGAGGTCAACACCTGTCAATACCCTCCCTTTTATATTTTGATCTCTTTGGTTCTGGATACTGCTAGGTGTAGATGGAACATAGTGCAGGGCATTGACATCAGGGAGAGCTTGTGAAACCGTGGATGGCTCTGGTATAAAGCATGGTGAAGTCAAGCAGTGATGAGGGTAGATGGTTGGGTCCTGGCATGCAGAATTCACAAATGCAGGTTTGCTCTCTGCCTCCTCTGGAAAGAGAACAAAATTATAGATGATACCATGAAGAAACGGAAATTTACAGTTTCATAAATAAAATTACCTTACTACTTTTTAATTTTAATTTAGGAAGTGCAAAAACATCTAATAACATAAACACTGTAATCAAAAACTTACATTTATTTATTGTTAGGTTTTCATCCATTACTTCCTATTTTACCATAGTATAAAAATGATCAACTCCTTCTGACATCTATCAATAGTAAGAGGGTGACAGCTCACTCAACAAAGACAACTGAGACAAAAAAAACTGTAAAAAAGATTTTGATCTTCATAAATCAGTTTGTAATCAGTCATTGATCTTTCAATGATCCAAAACACAAAATCAAGCTTTTGCTGTGAGTGATCTGAAAATACTATATTATATGTACATATACATATACATATACATATATATATATATATATATATATATATACACATATACATATACACACACACACACATATATATGGTCCAAGATGCCATATTATGTGTTCTCTCACCTATTTCACTACTATAAGAGACTCAGTGCTGTTGTCTTGAAGATCAAAGTACAATTTATTGGTGCAGATAACTGAGACTTAAGTGAAAATGAATTTAATTAAATGAGAAGCAGACTGTTTTTCATTTCCCATAATTAGACTACTAGACAAAAAAAGAAACCCTCTAACCTGAGTTTAATTCAAAGTCATCCAAAAGCTTGTCCAAGTCACACACAGCAGCCTTGAAGTAACTGTCCATCCTAGGGGTACAATATGATTCACTTAACCCTGTGGGAGAGATTGAACAGAGTGCTAGGGTTAGCTATGCTGTCGTTAAGTTAGTTAAAAAGCCTAAAGGAAAACACACAGCTAGCTTAACCATGTAGATACTGCAAATGACAGCTACTTAGCTAGCTAACCTACTTAGCGTTAGTTCTCGCCTAAAGAGGTCAGACTACCATCATTGTTTGTTACTAGCTAGCTAAGTGGCTACTGACGTTCAACTACCAACTGCATAAATGTAAACTATCAAAGCTTCATCACTGGACAAATTTGGCCTTTTTTTGTTCAAACGATCTGACCAACAAGCTTGCTAAACTGAGATAATCTTTTCCTCAATGAGCTAGCCAATCCGCAAGACAGTCCCTTGCTAATGTGTCTGCTAATAATAGAGAACTAGCTATAGTGTGTGATTAATTAACTACAAAATATAGCTAGTCAATAAATTTGCTGACCGTAGCTAGCTAGCTAGATTAGTCAGCTGGCTAAAATATTTCGCTAGCAAGTTTGTTTGCTAACTACTAACTTGGCAACAAACCGTTCAGATAAGCTAGCTATATATTTTATCAACATACATAATCGTTTGTTAAAAAATAACTTGTATGCAGTAGTGGAGGTTGAAGCAACATCTAGCGTTAACCTAGCGTTAGCTAGAGGTTTTTCGGACTGTTAGCCAAGTAGCTACTTTAAAGGTAAAGCAGTCTGGAGTCTCGCTAACAGAGCTACGTTAGCCTGGCTAACTTAACGCTAGCTAACCTAGCTGCTCACCCGCTTGCAATTCAGCTAGCTAGCTAAACATTTACAAAAACAAATCCCAGCAAGACGACTACTCATGGACTGTTAGCCGGCTACCGTGAAATTCCGCATAGTTCAACCGTCGGTCTTCAGGGTGTTATTTCGATTTAGTCGGTAGGTCCTCTTCTAAGCGACGCACTGAAGCTAACAATCCGTTTTTCCATATAAATTCCACAGTTGTCTGTTTTAGTTCTACGGCTTGCGCCGGTGTTCACGTTAGCAGGTTAGCTACACTCTTAAAGGCGCAGTGCCCCTTTCTTTCTCACAAACTCAGACGAACTCAGGAGGTGAGGACACGTCTTTTTCATGAGAACATGAGTATTGCCACAAAACTATTTACAGAACGGAAACAGATGACTAAAAGTTCCAGCGCTGCATTTCCTCTTTAAAGGAATCACATCACTTCACTTAAGTTATAATAACCCATTCGCTGAGAAGTTTAGTAAAATACCAGAGGTGGGTAGGTAGAGCGGCATAAAACCACACTCAGGAAAGAAAGAAAGAAATAAATGGTGACTCAAGTAGCGATCAAAACAAAACGAATCAAAAACGAACACAAAAAATGAGTAGAAGTTGAAAAGTAGCTGGTAACAAAAATTGCAATGAATTGCTATGTGACTTTGTAACTTAACCATCTACCAGCATCTGTCAGCACAGCAAGCAGTCCAGCTGGTGTCACCAACAGAACACAATGAAATTAAACACAAAAAGGGAATTAGAAACTAAATGTGAATGACTAAAGTGGAACTGGGTGAAATGTAGATGTCAAAAACTCTTGAGTATAGGTAAACATAGCATTCACCACTAATAAAAGAGGCAACTTGTGCTTTATTTTCCACCTTCTGTCAGCCACAGTCAAGCTGTACACAAGTGAAGTTTTTCTCTAATAACTCGTTCTCTACACAGCTCACCTCTTGACATTTAGCAGATGCTCATATCCAGAGCGACTTACAAAAACTACTTTGTTGTCTACTCAGAGAATGTTTCCTAGCTAGTACAAATAGGTTAGAGTCCAAACTACCTATGAGCTAAAACACTGCCAGAAACAAAAGCCAATGCTGAAACCCAGCAAGAAAGATATTTCTTTAGAAACAAGAAATAGAATTAAGATAAAGCATAAGTAAAATACAGTGCATTTCAATAAGTGCTTGCTTAAGTGCTGCACAAAGAAATGGGTCTTCTGTTTGCATTTGAAGACAGTTAGGGACAGTGGATGTTCATTCCGGTCAGAGAAGCCTTGAAGCTTATCTTCCATGGGTCTTAAAGTATGGTAGATCAAGCTAAGCTGTACTTGAAGCTTGGAGGCACAAGGTACAGATCAAGTTTTGACCAATTGCCATAAGGTATGGGAGGAGTGGTCCATTTTTGTCTTTGTAGGCATGCATTGGAGTCGTAAATGAGATGCAGGCAGCAACAGGAAGCCAGTGAAGGGAACGCAGCAGTGGAGTGAACTTGTGCTCTCCGAAAAAATGGTACAAAACTGTCCCTCTTGTCACTGAGGTGGTACCCTCAACGGTACATCTCAGTACCTTTAGTCAGGGAAAATAATTGTGCCATAATCCAATGAAATTATATTTTTAACTTGTATTGACTCCACACACCTGGTGTTGTCTTCTGGATCTTTCTATTTTTGTTGTGTTGTAAAACATTACGTTATGAAAAGGTACAAATATGTACAAATATAGGGAAAAAAAATATTTAAGGTGCACAATTGGACCTTAAAACCACTGTTGTACCTTTGAGGGAACATTTATATTGTACTTTGATGGATGAAAAATGTACCTGCCCAGTACCTTTATTTCTAACAGTGTAGAAAGATTGAAGACAAGCCATGCTGCTGCATCGTGGATCAGTTGCAAGGGCCTGATGGCCCACATAGGAAGACCAGCCAGGAACAAGCTGCAATATTTTACTTAAAAACATGGAATGGATAAAGTATGTGTAAATTACTTCAGGGATACATGTGGCCTATGTCATATCATCATTTCACAAATTGGACAAATAAACAACATCCTTAAATGACTGCTCTACCAGACTCACTTGTGTAGTTCTGCACATGGCTATACTAAATGTTCCAGTGTGTTTCTGTACATAGTTATATGATCACATGTAAAAATGTAATGAAACATAAAATTTCAAATCCAATTTGATACAATACAGTAACATTACCATATGATACATTTTCATGATACAGCAAAAATAAAAAGTATCTGAATATGTGCTTTGCATTAATGCTGTGGCAACAGCATAAAAGGTGATAGGTGAAAATCACAAAAAGCACTCTTTTATTTACACTGGCAGAAAAGGTACATGCAACTCAGCTGGGGAGCAGGCAGGTCACTTCTAGCCATACATTTCTTCTGTATGGTAGATACAAGAACACTCAATATCTCACCCACAGCCCATCACAAAATAACACAATCAACTCTCACCCTATTGAAAGTAACTAAACAACAACACAACAACAGCAGCAACAATTGTCTCTTCTAATGGAGGGGACGTGGCACATGCGGCACAGCTTTGCATACCATGCCCCCTGAGCTCCTCTTGGTACGTGGAGCATGTGGTGGACACCGCAATATGTTAATGTTTGCACCATGAGCATAGCTTACATGCATGTGCCCTAGGGGCACAACAGTGCATATATGTTTTAAAGTTTGATACAACTGTCAATTCTGAGGTTACGATTCAATTCGGTTTCCAATATTTTGCATGTTAAAAATGTTAAAAAGTATTCTACAGAGCTAATTATATAGTACCCAGATGGTTTAGCTCAAATAAATACAGGTTCTCCAGTAGAACTTTTTCAATGCCTTCTGCAAAAACACAACCTTTAGCATAAAATAAGCTCCTCCTCCCTCCCTGCCCACTTTACTCTGATATGTTGTATCCAGATGCCTCTCTGACAGTGGTTTTCATGAAAGATGATGCATGAGAGACCCTCAGAACAGACCGTGGAGCGTATTAGTGATGCTCATTGAAGACTAGCAAGGCAGAAAACAACCAAAAGAAACATCAATGCTTGTTGCACACCTGCAAAAAGCACCTGGACAATACCTAAGCCTTTTGGGATAATGATCTATGAATAGACCAGTCCAAAGTCTAATGTTTTGGACAACACAGGTCCCCTATTTGCCATAAAGCAAATTCTGCATTCTACAGTAGGAACATCATACTAGCATTCAGGGTTGGGATAGCTACTGAAAAAATAGTAGTTAGCTACTTTATAGCTACTTTCCCACAATTTGTAGCTATCTACAATTTAGCTACTTTTCCAGAAAAAAGTAGTGGCTACTTTTTAGCTACTTTTTGAAAAGTAGTGCTCTACTTTTTAGGTACTTTCAAAGCGCGATTGTCAGAATGTTTGTGTATCTCCACCTGACACACCAAACAAGCCCAACTGTGAACAAGACACTGCATGTAATCCTGTGCCAGAAAGAAACATTGAAATCTGCAAATATACAAAAAGATCACCAAAACATAAGTTCAAGTGTAACCAACAATCAAACTTATACAAAAAAAGGTGTGATATCCAACAAAAATTTAGGCTAAGTAAAGGCAAAGTCAATCATTCAGGTTTTTCCTAACAAAAATCAACAAAAATAACCAGATACAAACCAGAGAATTTTGTGCAAAGCATTGTCAACTGTGGAAATAAAACTGCTCCAATTCAAACATTTCAGCAAGATATGTACAGACATGATATTCAGAGTCCTTTATTAAACTTAAGCAACACTTTTGCCTCAAAATTCTCATCAGTGACTCTGGCTCTGTTAGGGGTGAGAATCAGGCCTGAATAATCTCTCCACTGCTGCAGAGCTGAACTAGATTTTAGGTAAAATAACATAATCCTCCTTTGCTGTAAAATCGTTATAACACACAGTTGCTTCTCATTCTCCAGCTTCTTGTTCAAATTATTCTGTTCCACTTTAAATGGTGCAGCACTACAATCTGGCGCCTCAGTCACTATTTAAGGTGGAACTGGACAATTCGTACGAGAAGCTGCCGAATGAGAAGCGACTTCAGCCTCATAAAAAGTCGAACATTGAGAGACATTTTACAAGAAACCCGCGGAGAAGTTTCTTGAGATGCGAGAAATGCATATATAACTGAGCTAAAGCTTAAAGCAGAGCAAAGTAAGTGAGTTTTCGTTTATATTATATTTTTATTCTGAAATAGCACATCAGCACATACTGAGTTATTTTTACAGCCAAGATGGTAAAACGGATATTAAATGTTGTGGCTCCCAACTGTCCACGGCTTAGTCAGGTTTGCACAATCGCCACCAGCCCAGTTAACGACCGCGTTCTGTGGTTCAGATTTTGTGCAGATTACCTGAAGCCTGTAGTGAAATTGTAGCAAAAATTATTGCTATAGCTACACAAAAACTTGTAGGTGCTACAGCTATTAGCTACATCTCATAAAACTGTAGCCGCTACAGCTATTAGCTACAAAAATTTGTAGTAAGCTACAAAAAGCAGCGTGCTACTTAGCTACTGCCCCATCCCTGCCAACATTGAAACATGGTGGTGGTAGTGGAAATGTGAGCGGATGTTTTGCTGCCTTGGAACTTGGACAACTTGCTATTATTCAAGGAACCATGAATTCTGTTCTGTATCAGAGAATTCTTAAGCAAAGTATCTGTTCATTTGTTCTGACGCTGAAACATAATTGGGTTATTCAGTGAGAAAATGACCCAAAACTGTAAAACAAATACACTTCTAAAGGGCTAAAACAAAATTAATGTTTTGGAGTGGCCTTCTGACTTGAACCCAAAAAATATGCTGTGGTAGGGCCTAAAACAATCAGTTAGTGCTCAAAAACCCTACCAATATATCTGAATTAAACCAGCTCTGCAATAAAGAGTGCATCAAATTCCTCCACAACAATGTGAAAGATTAAAATCAAATGATAGGAAATGTTGGTTGCATGCTAAAAGTTACGAAACCTGTTCTGTTTGTGTGATATTATCATTTTGTTTAAACATCTAAAAGCATTTACTGTGACGCAGTGATATAGAAAATCACCAAGGGGCAAATAATTTTTCATAGCACTGTACTTTGTTCCAAACTGCAGTTTGGTGGAGGGGAATGTAGGTCATATTACTCATGATCGAAGACTGAACTCATGGCCAAAATGACAGACCTCACCCAAAATGAAAAGTCTAACAGTCTGCTTGCTTTAACTGAGCTTAATGTTTTATTAAAACCTGCTTATTCT